CCACACCTCCCCCAGCCTGTAGCTCTGCTGGCACAATGAGGTCATTTCCTGACCATCCCTGTCATTTCCTGACATCCCTGGCACAATGAGGTCATTTCAAATCTTAACTGTCTGGGTTTGTTTAATTTGTCCTCCTATGGAAGCTACTCCGTGCACTTCATCACATTCATTGCCTTTGGAATTGTAATTCCAATTTGTCTCCTATTTTCAATTTTGTTACCGTTGCAGAGAAATCAATGGACATTTTCACATGGATATGTAGCACATGTGGAAGAAATTGCTCCTGACAAATACTACATTGTTCGCTGAGGGTCATGAAAGCCTCCTGAGTTTCTTAGGTATCAATCATTGTCTTTACTGCCTGCAATAATGTTATTGCATAGTTAGGAATTATGTAGCAAAAAGCTGTACCATGACACAGGTACACCAAGGTGATAAGTTAAAACTGTGTCCAAAGACAAATGATGGCACAACTCTAACCAGTAAAAAGGGAAACAAATGAAAATTTCTGGTCATGGTGCAATGCAAAGGAATCTATGGTCTTTATTTTCTACCTACTGAGGTTGGTGCACACAAAAAATATGGAATAAAGTGACCAAGAGGTTCACATTATGTGCAGCCCCCAGGTCACCTTAAGCCTCATGACATCCTCACTCTTCCTCTTCAATCTTCTTGCCATGAAACTCTCGGCTTTTCACTCGGAGCTTGTTGACCTGCGACTCCGCAATGTCAGCCCGCTCCTCGGCTTCCTCCAGCTCGTGCTGGATCTTGCGGAACTTGGAGAGGTTGACGTTGGACAGCTCCTCCTGTGCGGGAGAGGGACTCGTGGTGAGGAGCCCGGGGCAGGGCTTTCTCTCCTGCTGCCCCTTGGCCTTGTGGGGCTGCGGCTCTTGCCTGGGTGGGAGGCACAAACCTCCACCCCCACCCATCACTGCTTGCATGTAAGGCTCACACAGACTTCATCATCCTCCCTTATTCAGGGCACCACTGTGACAAGCGTCCCCAGTACTGAGTCACTCTTCAGGAGGTATTTTGCCCCTTTGATTTCTTATTTGTGTACTACTTTTCCCACAACTTCTTGACCAACTATCAGTGTGATGTATTATACTCAGAAAGAACATATAACCATCTGCTGCCGAGAAGCAGCAGAGATTCAGGAACATCTCAGTCAGTGCATGTACCCCCTGGGTTTGTTCAGCCTGACCTCCTCTATCAAACAGGCTGCAGAACTTCTCTCAGCTCATCCCTGACTGATGCAGGGTGCCCAGAACTCAGAAAAGCCTCATGACACCATACTGAAACAATGTGCCCAAGACTGTTGTGTCTTGGGAGTTTCTTCCCTGCCCATTTATTGGAATTCATACTGGACTCAGTGAGCGGGCTGCCCCAGGGGAAGGTGGATCCTGCTCATTCTTTCAGCAATACTTATAGCA